AAATCTGGGAAAATTATTTTAAGTGCTTGATTGGCGCTGAATTTTCTCTAGCTCTTCAGTGATATACTTAGGTAGACCATTGTGGAAAACTTGGCAAGCATATTAGGACACGGGCCTGATACACGTAGTATAGAAACAAACTAGCTGCGCAGGATCTCTTTTTGAACGCTTAAGTTGCCTGAACTGAAAGCCTGGAGGCTCCTTTTTTGATAACATTCTCTATGTGAGCGTTCCACTTAAGACCAAGAAGTTTTACGCTAGTTACAACCTCTATTGGTTTGTTGTTGATAGTAACTACTTCGAAAGAATCTGCAGATCTTTAAAAACTTATCTGCAACTCTTTACACTTGGTCTCATTCAATTGGAACTTATCTGCCTCGCCTTGCCTAACTAGTTCGTCTACAGTAACTTGGATTCCACTTGGTTGGCCCTTGTGGACTCTCGACCATCGATGTGTTATCGACGTACTTCCAAAGGTTGACGCCATTGGCATTGATGTCATTTATTATTTTCACACATTTGTTAACTCATGATACTTAGCATTTACTTTCAAATCGGTGATTTGAGCTTGATCGTTCCCTGCTCGGTTTTCTCGTGGACACGTTCTTAATTAAGAAAACTCATTTTGCAAGGCTTTGTAAACGAGTCTCAAGTTGTACTACAAGTGATTGTTAAGTAATGAAATTTTGGTTTAAATGATGGTCATCTCCTCATACATTGCGTCCCTTATCTATTTTTTTCCTTTAGTGCACCAAACTATTAGTTGGCAGCTGGCTTTCATTCAAGCTTTTGATAAAGTGAGTCCCTTTTTATGAGCACTTATGCGATAAGGTATTAGAAGAGACTTTAGGATAAAAAACAATTCAGTTCCTTCCATTTTATTCATCTAAATTCGTCTCTTTCTATTGCGTCAGATGCTAAGGCTAGTTTAATTATTTCTTTTAATTTAGCTTGTATAATTTTTAACTTTGTGTTCATAGTGCAAACTTATTCACTGGAAAGATTTTGATAGAAGATAAACATACTTTGACGCTATTCAGTCCCGATGTTTTGTTTGGCTACGAGGGAGAGAGTATAGAGACAGGAACACAAGCGAACATTGCTTACTTTGTATAGTTTATGTATTGATCGACAAAGCCAAATAGTAAGTCCTTTGAAAAAATTATATGTTTTTGTATCGAGNTACGGCCATATTCGCAACTAATATCAACCCAACAATAACAAAAACTTTGCTAACATCAGAAGAAATTTCCCAGGCTATAATTACACAAAATATTACCTTTACAAGTGGTTTCCATGCCAATAGTATGCACTTTAGCCCGCTCCACCATTTTCAAAACTTATCCATGCTAACATTTCTGGCCACTGCGATCGATGGTACGTGATTGCGTTACACACAGGAAGCCCATTACTGAGTGAGAATGGTACAAAGGATGACCAACGTTTTTGACAGAACAAGGTTGGTCTTTATAAAATCCTTTCGATCTAAAACATGTTTATGTAAACGTGAGGTTTTCACCGCCAATTTTTTTATAACAAAGCTACAAAGGGATAATGACATATCGTAGCTGAGTATGACGCATATGCACTTATCATACTTATTTCGATTCCCTTAAGACAGTTGGAATAATGTTGGTCTCTCTATTCCAGGAGTCCTTACTTTCTGAACACGAAGACTATGGTCACTTCTAGCTGAAAAGTTTCTATTTTTCCTTGTTTGTACTTGACTTTATCAGTTTATTGATTAGACCAATGTATGGCGCTTTTCGTGTAGCAGGAAGGGAATCAATTCAGTTCCAAGTGGAAATATGTGCATATATCTTGAAGGTTGACAGAGGTTGTATGTGCCCTACAAAATGGGATGACTAAGCTGGCACTCTTGAATTATCTTGTCACGAACTGAGGAGTATACCATTTCCTTATCAATTGCTGGTACATCGATCTCTACTACAGATGCCGCCTGTTTAATTTTTGATGCTGACCTTGAGAAATCCGACTTTATCTGCTATGCTGATAAAAACTCGCCAACAGCAAATCGACGCTCTCCGTTTTCGTTTTTAGCACGAAGCATATCTTATTGATCTTAGTGCAAAATATAAAACAAGACAAAGAGGGATACAGCATTTGCCTTTGCTAAACATTCTTGACACTTTTAATGATGAGATATTCACCTGCTCTGGCGAGAAGAAGGAGGATCTCACTTTCCAGCTGAGCATCATGGCATTGATGCTTTAAGATGACCTTGGATGTCTCTTTTTCACTTAGTTATGACTATGCATTTACTTTCTCCACTGGTCTTGCGGGAAATACAAGAACCACCAACGAGCTCGGAGAAGCTGCATGCCGCCATTTTAGCAAAAGAAGCAATTTCAAACAATGGCAAGCAAGAAAGAGGAAGGCAAAGATAAACATTCCACGCTCATCGGCTTCCTGTGTCTAACGCAATCACATACCATCGATCGCACTGCAGTGGCGAGAAATGGTAACATGGATGTTATGTTTCGAAAATGGTATAGCGAGCTAAAGTACATACTCTTGGCATGGAAACCACTACTAAAGGTGTAATTGAAGCCTGGGCAATTCCTTCTGATGTTAACAAAATTTTTGTTATTGTCGGGTTGGTAATATTTGCGAATATGGCCATTGTAACAACATAAACCAGCAATTTGTATATATTAGACTATCAAAAATTGCCCGGATTATCTGGACTTTTTGGCTTCAGGAGAAAGTGATATGCATATTGAATATGAAGGAGACCTGTTTAGAAGTTTTTGTATGATATAAGAGGGAATTCGAGTGTTTTGATGATGTTTGCTCAATGTGACGTGCAAGTCACGTTGGTCACGTAATACGCTTCTTCAGCTCAAATACGCTTATATAAAAATCGCTCTAACAAGTCGTAGTTCTAGTTTAAGTAGCCCGAAAATTAGAAAACTCGTAAAAAAAATTGTTTTTTAAGGAATCTTGGAAAAAATTACTTCACAAGCTTTGAAAAACATCTCTTGTTTTAGAATTGTTGTGTGATTTCCGAATTGCTGGCGAAATAGTTTTTTTTTCGGCCGTTATCTTGAGGTGCAATATTTCACCGGGAAAACACGGTTATGAACCCCCAAAACACAAAATGCCACCGTTCTCCCAAAATAATTTTTTTTCAGCATTTTTGATATTTTTCCGTAACTAAGGCCACTCATACCTATGTTCTGGCAAAGTTTGAAAACATTTCAATTTTTTTTTTATTTTCAACACCTCTGCTCGATTTTTACAGACGACCACTCTTAAAGGTGATTAATCAGCGCCCTTATAATCTAGCTACTTATTACCTATATAAACGATCAGTTTTACTGTAGAAGATGCTTTAAATAATCCTGCCGATGAATAGATTTGTTTTTGTCGCAGTGGAACTCAAGTCGCTTAATGCGATCACCAGTTCAAATACACAATGGACAGTTTTCAGTGTTGCGAGTGAAGTACCGGCTTGTTTACATGTAGCCAACTCCGTCTCTTGGTGACCATTGCTAGTTATATGCGCAATCTACATTTTATTTGTGCTAATTTTTTTCCAACGGTGCACCGACTACCCTTTTCAGATACAAACCAATTTCCCTTACAAACAGTAAAAAAATAAAGTGACATGTTTATTAGATTTTTTTTTCCTGTCTTTAANGACCAAATTTTTCGAAGTTCAGCTTGCAAAAGACTGAACTTGATAATCAACATGTTCACTGTACATGTCTTTTTTTCTGTCTTGGTATTGACGAAATATGCAACCATACAAAGGAATTACCTTGAAGTATATTGAGGAATTTCCATCCATCAAAAAGTTCTGGTGAAAGCTCTCCACTTCAGTGCTAACTACCATGTAACTTTCGTGCTGCAGTTACGGAGCAATTCCATGTTACTTTTCGTCATGAGGCCCCACGTGCTCATGAACTTCGCGAGATCTTTGCTCAACAGAACTAGGGGTAAGACTCCAATGCCTTTCCTTATTCGCTTAATTTCGTAATGCAAAAATTCCGCTTTAAATCTTGCGGCCCTAGATCAATTCTACATACTTACAAAGTAATTATACGAATAAAGAAAAGGGAAAAAGTTTACCTTTGCATTTTGTTGGACTGTGGGGTTAAGTAGCTCGAGTCACGCAGGCACCAGGAGTGTGATCAAGAACATTGTATCACTCTCTGAGTCTCTTGCTTTCCAATTCAGCCCTAATTACGTGCCCTTAAACACACTATCGGTAGGTATGTTTGGGCTTACGGGACGACTGACCTTAGAAGAGCAAACTTATTTTTAAAAAGCAAACCCAAACAATTTTACAAGGTATCTTTTATGAACAACAAAGTGATTGAAAAACAACAAATCTTCAAGAACTAAGACCTAAACAAAATTTTCCGTTGAGGATTCTGAGCAAGGTCATGGACAAACCCAAACACGTCTAGCGATGACGATTATCGTTCGAGAATTGAGCCCTATTACAAAGGTAAAGGACACATCGCTCAAATTGTAAAAATGAATATGTTGTCTTGCAGCACATTACAAAGCAACGCTCACAAGATTCGCATAAGGATTCCAAAGTAATCTAAGAGGCCTGAGAAATTCCCAAACAATAAGCCAGAACAGTCCTAATTTTAGTAGCCGATGGCATATTATTCTATATTGAGCGATGACCTAAATACCGATTTGACTGCGTGTATTTTGGACCCTACTTGCTCGTTTAGAGTGGGCGTAGCTTTGCAGTCTAATAAATACTTATTTTGTTTGAATTTGTATCAATTAATATCATTACCAGATATATACGGTGCGCCGAGTGTATTAAAATCACCGCAATATATTGCCATAGGATGACGGTGCTTCTTCACTCGTTTCTTTGCACCAGTAACGGCCTTTTTTCTCTATCTTGTTATTTTTTCTTTTCTTATGTGTACCCAACTCAGAAGACCCTTGGTTGACAGTCAGCAACCACTATCACTGATCCAAGCCATTTAAATAAACTGTGTTGGCTGTTAAAGGGTTTCTAACGTCACTCGACTTTTATTTGAAATGTAGCATCAGTCTCAAAGACAACACCTCCTTCCTCCTTTTTTAATGAATTGAATTATTATTCTTCCTTTACTTTAACTACTAAGGGTATGTTAAATAACATTTTCTCTTCCTTTACAAGCTTGTGTAATCGTCAGCATTGGCTCGACTGCAAAATGATTTCCGGAAAGATCTAGTTAAGAGCTAAACGTACCTGGACACCATTGCTGACAACTGCTAGTGAAAATATACTTATTACTAATACAAAATGCTCAGAATGTATCGATTTCTAAAACGCAGAGTATAACTTACATCAAATATATGTTACCAAAACAGTGTGATTAGATATTTATTTTTAGAATCTTACGTTTTTTGCGGTATACCTTCTGCTGTTGTTGCTGCAAACTTTTCTTTAACATGCAGACTGTCAAAGCGAGGATTAGCTATGCTAAGTTAGGCCCTATATGATTTGAAGCTAAAACAGAAAAAAAAATTCCAAGCGATAATTTGTATACAAGGCTTGAACACTTTGAACCAATTTTGTACTAGATAAGAGAAGCTTCTAAAGTGGTTTTCACAACGGATTAAGTGCATCAGATCTCTCTGATCCTTTCCCCACTTTATTTCCTTTATTACGCATCTTAGATTAATGGAAATCTGAACTCTCTTTCTGGTATACGTTTTTTGCATTAGGCATCGACAGTTTGTCTTTGTCTCCTTTGGCCAATGATATAGAGGAAAAAAAATCAGTAAAAATTGCCATCATTTTCGCACGAATACTTCAACTCTCAAGCATGGAAAATTTAGAAACGTGACGGGATAGAACCGAATGTATCTGGCACTGACGTCAGTAATGAGTGGATTCTTTACAACGGTGTTTCGGTCTGAGTTTCCTGGGAACACCTGGAAGAGGAAAAGATGCATTATTCATAACGAGGAACTCTTATAGTTCACCAACACGCAACGCAAGTTTATAGGGAGAAGACTTTGGGAAAGGATAGAAGGTAAATGGATGTTGGCGAGAAATCTTATGTTGCAAGTGAAATATCAGTGTAGCCTTCGGCGCGGACCTCTTTAAGAAAAGTCTGGTTCCACTCTAGTTTTCAAGTTAAGCGTTTTTAACTTCACTCCTTTGTTATTGAGAAGGACCATACTTCAAACTAAAAGTATGCAAAGCGTGATCCGGCTTTGATCAAACGATTGGAAAAATTTTCGATTGTAGTGGGTCCATCCTTCCGGCTCGGGATTCCCCGCTTTGATCCCGCGGAAGAAAGAAAATTTCGTGCAGGCGACTTACAAGGTTCCTAATTTTGGAGTACCAAAAGCCGCAGAAGACACTCAAAACAAAGAAAACATAAGCAGCTCTCGTGGAATCATACTACAAACACAGTTGGCATTCTCTCCCGGCTCTCGAAACAGACAAGTCATTCTTATTAAACCGAAACGTTTTTGCTATAAAATGAATCCTTCATTGAGCAAGCGTTAGGTTATACAAAAGAAAAAGAACTCGCCCACTATCTATCACGCTTGGTCAGTAACGCATATATCACACTCTTCCTTGAAGTGATCCGATTTTGTAAATGACTCGTTTAATTCGCAGACCGACATGAGCTCCACTAGGTCCTAGAGCCATTATTTATAGCTGCCGATCAAATCAACTCCTTATTCACTGGTATTTTTCAAACCTTTTCAGCTTTTGATTCCTTGTAAGTTGTCCAAGTTACACCGTCTGTGGATAGGTGCAATTTGTAGCTGGTGGTCAATTCTGTA